ACCACAAGAAATTTCTTTGAATTAACATTAGAATCAATTTCTTTATTACATTTTTTACTTCTATTTTGTAATGTCTTAATTCTATTTTTTATTGTTGCAAATATAAACTTTAAGGGATAACCGTTACTTAAAAGAATGCGAATTAGTTCCGTGATGTTTTTTTCCTGAAATTTAGGATGGGACAAAAATAGAATTCTGTCCAGTTGCCCAATAATAACTCCCCTTTTATGTGTTAACGGATGATTGGAATAATAATTTAAATACCAGAATTGGTAGGTTTTTTGTACATATCAAAGATGATGTTTCCTTCTTGTTCAATTAATTTAACATCTAGGAAATTTATGCCATTTTTATCGCCACGGTCAACGGTGAATTTAAGCCTTTCGTGATATGAATTAAATAAAATAATTCTAAAACTTCCTCAACCTTTTCCTCATGTACCGCTAATACGATGTCATCCACGTAACGAAAATAAAACCTTAATGTTATTCTTGGTAATAATTTTGTGTTCTAAATCTTGTAAAACAATATTTGCCAGTATCGGAGACAAAGATGAAGATGGCCAGATTGTGGCCGAAACGTTTAATGTTTTAATTTATATAATAATAAGTAAATATCACAAATTATAACCTGTGGTGTGGTTCTTTATGCTCTTTTTGTATCTTGTTTTTTAAATTGATAACCACGTGAAAAATTTTTTTATATTCTTAAAAAGAGTTACATATAGTTGACATTAAATTTAACCATCGTGTTGTAATTATATAAATGTGTTCTTTCTAATTATTTAAATGTTCGCATAAGTAATGTTTTTATAAATGTATGCAACTTACAAGCATCAATAATTTCATAAAAAAAATCTCACATTTTTTTTCGCAACACGTATCTCACATTTTTATCTGTAGAATATATATGTTAGCAAATTTAAAAAAAATAAAATGATGTTTCAAAGGTGTCCTATTTGACGTGGAATGTCTCATAAATTGTAAGTATTATATATTATTGTAATAAAGTCATTTAAGGAGAAAACATGCTAAGTATTAACTTATTTTCAATGGTATGTATTAGGTGTTGGAATTAATTCGTAGCGTTTTACAAGAGATGGGAAGTGATGGGAAGTACTTTCATTAATGTATTTTTTAATGCTCATGTGAAATAAATAACATTCTTTCATTAAAAAAACGCTACGAATTAATTCCAACACCTAATACAAATTCAGTTGTTAATTTTTGCTCTTGTGTTGTTTTTTTTATCCTATTTTATTTTTTTTTATCCTTATTTTATTAGTCCTGTCAGTTTAAATATTAAATTAGCAGCGCCACTATGTTTTGGAAATACATAATATAGAATTGTTTTTGTTAGTACAAAATAGTATTACACAAATTAATTATTATTATATTAAATAAATTCAATTCTATTGATTTCTGATATTATTATTTTTTTCTTTTATTTTGAATTGGTCTTTTCTTTTATTTTGAATTGGTCAGCTTACAATATTAAGCAGCGCCAATTTTTTTTCGAAATGGCACACGGTACAAAATTATCATTAATGGTACAATTTAGTACAAAATAAATACTAAAAATCCCGATTTGATTCTGTTGATTTGGTCCTTCTAATTTTATAAAGCTAAAAAAACTTTTTATACAGACATGTGTGTATACTTGTTATCGCGAATAATATTTTACGTGCGTCAGTAGTCAAATTCGGAAGACGTCCGCACGAAATTCGAAAAGTTCCGGCTGAAGTGGTATTTTTCGCATATTACAGGTTTTTAAGATGCTAAGTCAACATTATTATTAAATCGATCAATTAATTTATAGTGACTGCAAAAAGTATATATTATATTCGTACAAAAAAAAATTTCATGTTTTTCAAAAATTTCGAAAACTCTACTCGAGTTATTTTGATATCCTAGAAATGTACAAAATTTGATCAAAATAATTTAAAATTGATTTCTTGGTAATTTGAAATTTTTTGAAAAAACGAAATTTTTCCTTCAACTTTATGCGGCGTCTATCAATTACTTTTCTTTATCAATTACGAGTCCTACTTATGAATACAATGTTTAGAAAATGTGAGACTGTTTTGATGTGTATGTCGAAATCAAATTTTCAATCAATGTTCTGAGGCATTTCTTGGAATGTTTGTGTAGTATTTGACGACATAGTCTCAAACATTTCTATTATAATTTTCTAAGAGTTTGTAAAATATTTGATCAGCAGATGTGTGTGTGTTTGCCAGGTTTTTGCAACGTGCTTTCAAACAGTGCAACCATCAGTAAAATTATTCATAAACAGTGTAACAGTTGTGATAAAATTGTTCATAAACAGAAATAACACAATCCCTCACTAATAATTTTCATCATGGTGCACGTATCCATCTGTTAACGTGTCCATCTGAACGATGTTGACGATCGCGAATTCGCCTTGTCCACGTACAGGTGATAACGAGCGATACAATCGACGCGACGCGATCGACGCAAACGCAAATCGGCTGATCAATCAAGACAATTCATAAAAAATGAAGTCATTTTTAAATTCGATGCGTTTTTAAGTTCGTGCTAAATCGCAAATACGAATTGGCAAAGTGAATTGAATCGAGAAAACAAACGTGGCTCCTTCCTTATAGGTGCAAACCCATAGAAAAGATGGTGGAAGTGCTCTTAGATCGAATCGACGGCCAAGAAGTAACCATCGTTGAGTCGGATTGCATACCAGATTCGCCAAGCGAGAATTCACCGGTCAATGAGAAGCTATCACCGATCCAGGAATTTTACAATGGTCAAAGTATTTTCATCACCGGCGGCACCGGTTTCATGGGTAAACTGCTCATCGAAAAGCTCCTCAGAACGTGTCCTGGAGTGACATCAATTTACTTACTGGTACGTCCAAAGAAAGGCAAGGACGTACATCAACGTACCGAAGACATCTTTGATGACACGGTGAGTCTTTAAATTACTTTAGAAACAAGCGAACCCTGTCCGTATTTGATAAATTTTTTAATAATTATATTTTGAATCATCTAAATTTTACCTTTTGATAAACAGATAATTTTTTTATCATTCAAATCTGTAATATTAAAATATCACAATTTGAGAAAATAAATCAAGCATCTTTATTATCTACATCTCGTAACAAATTTCTGTATAGTACGTGCGTCATCGATGGACATCAAATACTTTGACATCAGCGTTTTATTTATCTTCAAAACTAGAAGATTATTTCTTTCAATAATTTCAACTTCTTTCAACTTTTTTATTATCTTATTGAATCGATATTAATAAAATAATGACTTTCTAAATTTAATTGATGGGTTGACTATTACTTTAATTTACGCAGGTATTTTCAAAACTTAGAGACGAACAGCCCAAGTTCCGACATCAGATCGTTGCTATAGCGGGAGATTGCAGTCAACCGAATCTCGGAATATCTGCACAAGATCGGGCTACTCTTATCCGGGAAGTTTCGATTGTTTTCCATGTCGCAGCTACGGTTAGATTCGACGAGAAATTGAAATTAGCAGTGCCCATTAACGTCAGAAGTACAAGAGACGTTGTAAATCTCTGCAAGGAAATCACGAACTTGAAGGTATCATAAGGCCCAGATATTCAAGAAAAGAAAAACTATAATGAAATATTTTATTACTCGTCCAATTGACCGACTTACTTTAAAATAATATTTCCATTTAATTCTAATTCAAATAAGTTCTGATGAAAATTGTTCTTATAATTCTCATATAATTAATAAATAGTAATAAGGCTCTGTACGTATAAAACAATGTACACAAGAAGGGCAAAGAGCCAGTAATGTATAAGAGAACTTTAATTTAAATTAACATTAAAAATATAAACAATTATAATTAACAACAAACGAACGTTTCGACTCCAATCGAATCATTTTCAATGTAGTTTTAATGTACAACATCGTTCTAAATCAAAAATATATACAGGGCATTACAATGCTATTATAATTTTTAATATCTTATTTTTTATTCCGTGTAGTACGCTGCGAGTTATTTTTATCAAGAATCAAAGTACTCATAAAAAAATTCTGGAAAAGTAACCGTAAACAAAAAGAATTAATATTAACTACATAAAAATTAGTAATATAATAATGTACCTTGTGATATCAGTAAATGTCTTAAGAGTCCATTAATAAAAAGAGAGAAAAAAACGCAGGTAGATTGTAGTCCATTTCGTGGTACAATACATTAGTTTTTTTTTATTCTATAAATCATTTTACAAATTTTTTTAGCAAATTTGCAAAGGTAACGAACATCTAACTTTCACGATGTCAGATAACGAAATGTCAAGAAGAAAAACATTTATCGAGAACGGAAAATGGCAAAACAGGGGAGAAAAGGAAAGAATTCTTATATAATTTTTCGGAATTTCTATATAAAGTTCGAAATTTTTCAGAATAATTTCGGTATAAAGTTTATAACTTTTTAAATATCTTAGATTTTGTTATACAAATTGGAATAATTTTCAGATGTGTGTACACGCGCGCGTGTATGTGAATACACATAATTTTGAAATATATATTTTAAGATTTCTTAGAATTTTCCTTTCATAAGGAATAATAATAATTTGTCTCTCAAAGAGAACCTTCCAAATTTAAAGAAATGTAAGATATTTTTTCATAAATTAAAAATATTAAACATTTTTTTAAATATTATAAAGTATTATCAGAATTTTTCACCAGAGCAGAGTTAGGAATTATTATAGTGTTTTCTCGACATATCGCATGCATTTATGATAGATCATACCTATTTGTGTGAACGACGCCATTTAATGCAATTTTCTAGTCTTTTATACACGTATCAACTGCATATGCAAATTGCCCACAAAGTGTAATCGAGGAAAAGTTTTATGACCCGCCAATGGATTCCGATAAACTAATTGCGTTGATTGAATGCATTGAAGATAAATTGGCTGAAGATATCACTCCGCAGTAAGTGAAATATTTTCGATTGAATTCTTTTAGTGCACACGAAGAGAGAACGAAAAGAAAACTTGATATTCTAACCTTTACAGATTATTAGGAAAATGGCCTAATACCTATACTTTTACGAAAGCAGTTGCCGAGAATGTGATTAGGAAGCAAGCTGGTGATCTGCCGGTCGGCATTTTTCGTCCTGCTATTGGTATATACATATACATAATTTATTATTTTTAGTTAAATAAGAGAAATCCTATATTCGATCAAAACGGATGTTAGTGTTTAAAATTTGAATACACTTCTGTGTGAATTTGTATACATATTTAATTCTGCAAAACGCGCATCGAAATCTTTTAAACTGAAATCTTTTAGATTGAAATATAATCACAAATCATAAATCTACAAATAATTTATTGCGAAAAATATTGCTTCTGCCAGAATTCGAATCCTGATTTTTATTCATAATAATATTCAAAATTAAATTAAATATATTAAATCATTATATATTAATTTTATATTTAATAATAATAATAATAATACAAAATTATATCGGCAACAATAAATTTAACTGAAAATTGCCTAATACTGACTAAACTGTACATGTAATTTGATATTTTATTTTCAGTGATCTCAACATATCTGGAACCGGCACGAGGTTGGATCGACAATTTATACGGTCCAACAGGAGTTGCTGCCGGTGCTGGAACTGGATTGCTGCGATCGATCCATTGTGATGGCTCGGTACACGCAAACGTAGTACCTGCAGATTTAACAGTCAATGCTTTAATTGCATGTGCATGGGACGTAGCGAATGATCAAAGGTGTGCATTATCATTTTTTAATCTTTTCCTGCATCAGTGCAGTTTGACGTCAGAATGACAATATATATACACACACATATGTGTATGTGTGTGTGTGTGTGTGTGTGTGTTTGTGTATATATCATCTAAAGACTTTAAATAATAAATTTATGTGTCAAATTGAAGTCTTTCATATTGATAAAATCAAATGTGACATGTATTTAAAAAAAAATATGTCATAATATTTTATATAAAATATATTATAAATATATATATGTATATAAAATATTACTTTTCGACATATAATTTATTATTTAAAGCGTTTAAACGATTTATAATTCATGTCATATATCATAAGATAGGATCTTATTTATACTATTGTAATAGTTACAAAAACTTTGATAGCTTTGACAGATTTAGTAACACTACACGGAGAGAATTTTCTTTTAAAATTTACCTTGAAGATATGGTAGTTGTAGTACAATACAATATTTTAAAGATTTTTACCATGCATTTCAATAAAATCAAACTTATTTTATACTTTATTGTAGTTTTATTAATAAATGAGAGAGATTTATTGTACATTAAAATTCTTCGAAATACAATGTTGCCCCACGACTGTCATATTTTCGGAGTCATAATATATGTCATAAATTAATTAAATGATGTTAAAATATAATAAATTCTAAGAAAAAATTCTCTTCGTCTAAAATATATAATTGAATAAATAATGAATATATAATTGCATCATTTTTCAGAATAAACAATAAATCACGCAGTGATGCCCCAATTTATAATTATGTGTCTACGGACAACCCAATAACTTATGATAATCTAAAAGACATGTCATCAAAATATGGTCTCCAAATTCCCTCGAACAGGGCGGTTTGGTATTACAGTTTCAGAAATAATAAGCACAGGATAATCCATCTTTTTTTCGTATATTTTTGGCATCTACTTCCAGCTTTACTGGTTGATACCGCAACTGTCTGCATAGGAAGACAACCGAGGTAAGGATAAAAAGAATTATGTAAAAGTTAGAGAAAGAGAGAGAGAGAGAGAGAATAATGAATTTTTCATTTTACGTATCCAAAATAAGAAAAAAGTCGTAAATTAAAATAGCATTAATATTAAAGAACAAAGGAGGATGCTCAAAAGACATTATTTAAGATGATTTTAAAATAAGAACAGATTATGAATACCGTCCAAAGTTTCGCGTTTCACAGTTGGTAGCCCTTAAACCCTATTAACGCGGAGTAGAAGTATGATTTGGCCGAACTGCATACACAATAGATTTGTTTTTTATTACTGCACTTTCTGAACTAGTACACACAGTGCAATAAGTTGAAGTGAAACAAATATACGTTTGTTTTTAGATACGTTTTGTTTATAGATTATATGAAATTGTTATGTGACTCATAACTCCTTATTGTTTTATCTAATTTTTAATCATTTTTGAGCCATTTCTCTCTCTTCATATATTTTTAATTATTAAAACTTCTTTCATATGGAGCTATTTTACCGGAATAGTATATAGAATATTAAAAATATTTTTCCTGTTACCTCTAAGTTTGAATAATTAAAGAATAATCATGAATTAGTTTTAAAACATCTAAAATAAAAGCTGATTCTATATTCGCAGCATCAAGTATACTGTGAACTAAAACCATCATTAATAATGAATTAAAATATATGTAAGAAATTATATTGTCATTTTTGCGCCCCTTCAAAATTTTTACACGAGGCAAGTGCCTCGCTCGTCATACCTTTATCCTGCTATTTATGCAGATCATTATTTAACATAGACTGTGTATTAAAGGTTACTTAAAGTTTATAAGAAGATACACAAATTTATGGATGTGCTGAACTATTTCTCCACGCAAGAATGGAAATTTACCAATGATCGATTACACGCGCTGATGGGGAAGCTCACATTCAAAGATCGTGAAAAGTTCTATTGTGATATACGAGATGTCGATTGGAATTTTTACTTCGAAACTTATATTCGCGGAATAAGAGTGTATCTCATTAAGGATCCCCTAGAAACCTTGCCGCAGGCACGCGTCAAATGGCAAAGGTACGAAATTTTCAATAATCTTTGGAAACAATAATCTTTAGTCCGCTTTTCTAATCCTATATGTTTTCATAACAAACTGAAAATTTTCATTTTTTTTTAATGTCTTCTATCTTTTCTTTGCTATTTTGTCATATCTTATATTTCAAATTTCTTTTAGTTTATTAAAAAAAAAATAGAGGCAAATCAGCATATTTTTTTCAAGCTGTATTCTGATATGTTTTTATTCTTTATTCTTTTTATCAAATATACTTAAAATTGAAAATGTTACATTTTAAAACTGTGAATTAAAATATATTAGAACTATATGTATATCTAATTTTATTATTTACTTTACAAAAATAAACAGATAAGAAACAACTCTTATTATAGATTATACTGGAGTCATCAAGTACTGAAACTCATTCTGGCTTACATCGCCTTGAGGCTCTTCTGGACGATTACATCTACACTGTTTGATTTTTTTTATCCAAAAGTGTGACAGAAATGATAGGAATAAGATTGCAAAAATCCAAGACATACGTCTTGGAGATGCAGGACCGAATGGTGGAGGGTGATATCTATATTTTTAAGGAAGAAGCATGATTGGACTCTCAGAGAAGTGTGAAACTTTCGTCAGAAAGATATGGAAGAACTAACAGAGAGGCATGTCGTAAGCCTATATACAAAACAGGCCAAATATTGCGAAACGAAAATGTAATGTATGAGCGATATGTGATGGTTCTCGTCTCCAATGATCTTCACACAGACAAAAACTATTTGTAAAAATAAAACGTTACCTTATGTTCAAAGTAGGCTTGGTAGGTGTTATCTGAGAGAAAAGTTTAACCCTTTCGATACTAACGATGACTATAGTCGTCTAGCGTTGAACGCTCGCCGTGCACTAATGACGACTTTAGCTTAACAATTGTTTAAGTGTTATTACTATGGCTAAGGTCCATTTGATGCTTCGAAGCATTTGTAGCGTCAAGTGGATCGCACTCTATAAAACATGTTAAAGTATTATTCCTTTCCATCAATACTTTACACAGTAAAATTTAATTGTTATGTCCCTTCTTCGATGAAGTGACGTTCGTGTCATAATTGTCCCATACAGTGTACTCGAAATTCGACTGTCCGACAGCGGAGACATACTTAGTGACGAAAAAATAAAGCCGTATCGAAAAGGTTAACTTGGCTGGCGCGCGGTGCTTGTTTCACAAGACGCATTATATTTAATTTTTAATATTATAAGACGCGACGGTATAGAATATTATATCACTTATTTGTTACAATAACGACATAACTCGAAAATCAAAGTTTTCTAAAAAATAAGTTTTAATGTTTTGAATCATTAAAACGTTATATTAATTTTAAAATACAATTTTGATAATCAATTCATTTTGATAATTAATTCAAGACAAACGAAATAATTGGAGCGTAATATTCTTACAAACAATTTTAATGGTTGTTCTTCTTATACATGAGATTCGGAGATTCCATTCGTAAATTCATACGTTTCGATTTAGAGTCATCTTCAGTGAAATTTAGTCGAACATAATATGTATGAGTAATATAATAAAGAGACTGAATGTTAAAATAAAAAATAACATATGTCAGTGACAGTTATATTATTAAAAACAAAAAACGAAAAACTAAAAGAACATAAATATTCCGCAAACATACTAAGCTTCCAAGAATAAACATAATCATTTGCATATATTATTTAAAATTAAAAAATATGTGTGATATAAATAATTTGTATTTATTTATATATTAAGACTGAACCTGAATGTGCATATCTCAAATATCAATCTTCTTCCTAAAAAAACGTTCTAATATCTTGATATTCTCCCAATCAAATTCATATTTTAATGATATTCTGTAATCTATAATTATATTAGATATTGGAATTAATTCGTAGCGTTTTACAAGTGATGGGAAGTACTTTCATTAATGTATTTTTTAATGCTCATGTGAAATAAATAACATTCTTTCATTAAAAACGCTACGAATTAATTCCAACACCTAATAATATACCGATTTAATATTTATGATGCTATTAATGTGGGGACAATAATGTGTTCTTGGATTCTTGTTTTTAGTAGTTGCCTGTTTGCCATACATAAGATAATGGATTTGCAGATAAAAAATTTTGGTAATAATTGATATAGAAGAATGTTCTTTTAAGTATATTCTTTTTTTTTAATGCAATTTTGATAGTAATTGATATATGTATAAGAAGAATAAAAAAATGTTCTTTTAAAACATATTCTTTCTTTTTTTTCTTCATATTTTCGTTCTTTTTCTTCAAGAAATTCAAAGATAACATTTTTTAACAAAGTCTCATAAGACCGCAATGTGAATACACAATAAGTAATGAAAAATAATTTATTGCGAAAAATATATAATTTTTTACTTATATTGTTAATGTAGCAAATAAGCGATATGTAGAACGCGTTAAGTTCAACAAATTTACGCGTTAAGTTCAACAAATTTACAACAATATATATATAAATAAACAATTTAGCATAATATATAAGTATGATTCTAGAGAGTTCGGTTTGAGAATGCATATTTTAAATCAAATAATGATTCATGAGTATAGTATGTTATTCTGATCAAATTAATTAACATCTATGTCTTATGATATATATTGATAATGTATTAAATAAAATTATCATAGTCGATAGCATTGTGGCAATTGAATAATATTTGAAAGTGATAGCGTACAAAACAAAAATTCATATCTGAAAAAACTTTTCTCTGTATCCTTTCATTTATTTTGATGAATTAATGAAAATTATATAATTAAAAATAAAAATATTTTAAAGTATTTTAATATCCCAAAAACATAAAAAATTTAAAGATATAAATATTTTAACGTTTAAATTTTATAAGCAAAATGGACAAGAAATCAGTCTTTTGCTTATTTAAGGCCCAATTATGCCAACATTATTTTAACTGTGAGATTTAAAACCCTTTTTTTTTTAAATCGAGAAAAAAAAACAGAAAGGAAGAGTTTTAAGCCTTGCTTAAAGTTAAAATAATGTTGGTACAATCGGACCTAAGCTAAATAAAGTCTAATTTTGCCGTACGTTTAATTCTCATTACTTTACATCAGTTTTTATTTTGATAAAATATTAAAGTACAAACAACTGTTTTCGCAACGGTCAGAAGAATTGTTGCCATAGAAGAAAAAATTAGTTAAAATCAAAATGCAAACTTCTTATGGCTTTACACAGTTTGATTAAATTCATGAGCATGTCACCTGTCGTCACTCGTACTTATCTTACGAATCAGCATTTCGGTGTGCGCATCATAATCTTTTCAACAAATATAAAGTAAGAGATAACGAGTATGCATGACTGTTTCGCGAAAAGATAAAAAGAGAAGATAAAAAGAGAAACATACCTTATTGCTTGGTAGTTTATACTTGATAACACAGTTCAATAAAAGAAAATTAGTCATTTCCTATAGTTTTTTAGACGCTAAAACCAAATCCGATTGTAGAATTACTATATGACACAATTTTGAAAAATTTACAATTAAAGTTGCAAAAAAGGGCTATTTTCATGTATTTTCTAATTCACAGCTTTTCCACAATTAGACCCCAATATTTAGCAAAAATAAATAACTTGTTAACCATAACGGATATAAAAAATTCTTTTTGAGGGTTAAAAATCATAACAACATACTAAATTTTGATTGCAAGAACACTTCTCCAGCATTTTGTAGTTCTAATATGACAAAATATGTGAAAATAGTTCTTTTTTGTAAAATTAATCCTTTTTTAATTACAAATTTCTCAAAATTGTGACGTGATAGAACAATTCTACAATCAAATTCAAATTCAACGTTCAAAAATACTACGGGAAATAACTAATCTCGTTTTGGTGTTCGAAAAAAAATTTTTTTTTGTTGAATTGTGTAATCGTACTTTGTTTTTACTGTTTTTTAGATATGCGCATGATCTACGACCGAACCAAAGGCCTCTCAATGAGAGAAAGTGTATTTTGTTGGAAATTGCGGCAAATGAACCGTATGTATGTATACATGCGTGCGCGGGTATATATAGAGATTCATAATGAATAAATCGAGATGCGATGGCAATTTAGATATTAATCCGTTACAAACGAATGCAAGTTTTTAACTCAAATGTTAATCAGAAAATTTTAGGGCCCTATTTCGTAATCCTTAATAATATACATATATTAAATTATTGTCGCAAAACTTTTCTTGTTCAAGAAGAGTCAAGATATACACACATATATATATTTTATATATATATATATATCTTTACAATGCGTAATGTAGAATATTTTTTATTTTGGGTTAAAGGCTTCATTTTGTTACGTGTAAGAATTGATGAAGACCAAGTAAAGGTCGAAAATGTTATTCTTGTATTAGTAAATTAATTAATAAAAAAATTTTTTTACATTTATCCCAGTATTGCTCCTTTCTAGTTGCTTTTTTTTAAACTTTACTTTGCAAAAGACGAACAACTGTATATGCAGGGTGTCTCAAAATTCGAGGGTAATATTATTGCAGCGTAACTTCGTGAAAAATTAAATAATAAAATTGTACACCATTTTTTCCGTAAAGTTAATTGCCGGAAAAAGAGTCCAAGTAGAATTGTGCCTTTATTCCGCCCATCTCTTCAATTTCTAAATCATAAACGTTGATTAAAGTCACCTATCCATGTGATAGTGTGCATATAACGGTAATGTTTTATTTAGTATCTATCATTGCATAATATGTGATGACTTTTTAACCAATCCTTATCATTAGTCAGATTTTAAACGTTCATACTTAAAAAATTACTTCACTAAGAAAAAAATGGCTTACACTTTTATTATACTTAATTTTCCACGAAATTTCAAGCTGCAATAATATTGTCAAATTTCGAGATACCTTACATATATATTAGGTGTTGGAATTAATTCGTAGCGTTTTTAATGAAAGAATGTTATTTATTTCACATGAGCATTAAAAAATACATTAATGAAAGTACTTCCCATCACTTGTAAAACGCTACGAATTAATTCCAACACCTAATACATATAAAAAATTCACCTACAAATCATATAACGTTATTCCTAAAAAACTCGAGTCGAAAAATCCTCTATCATTTTATGATTTTCGTAATGGTTGACGAAATATTAATTTCTAAAAATAGCCGAATAAAAGATTGTTGAATCATCATAGCGCTACATCATTCGTGAGCAGACTTTATAAAATATCCTCTATAATTTTCGTATTCCATTTGGCGAAAATTTTTTACAATTCTGCATAAAATTTTTCAAAATTTCTATATAAATTTCAGAATTTCTGTATGATTTTATAACTTTTTAAAAAATTTCTCATATTTTTTATACAAATTGAAATACTTTTCAGAAATGTTAAAAAAGTCTACATATTTCTATAATATTTTGTATATATATAAATTCTGAAATATATTCTAAAATTTCTTATTTTATATATTAATTTGTGGAAAAACTTATAAAATCTGAAAAAGTTCAAAATACTTTTTTTCAGAAATTTTCATAAATTTAAAATAAATATGATAAATATTGAAAAATATTGCGAGATGTTATGAGAGAATTTTTTTCATCAGAACATTAACCCTATAACAACATCTATACACTCTTTGTCGTAAACTCAATAACTGTTAGAATGGTTCTGAGTTTGTGACAATTTTATGATTATTTTATGACTATTTTATTGTTAATGACAATTATCATTTATAAAAAAAAAAGATGTAATAAAAATCGATAATAATGTCATTTAAGGATTACAGAATAAGACCCATAAATTTCAAAGCGTCACAATGACCGTCAATTTATCTGTAAAACAAAATTTTATCGATGATTAATGAGCAAAGTTTATAAATAGATAAACGAATCGAACATTCAATTCTGTCGAAGAATAATGTTAGATAATTAGTTTGCACTCTCTCACGTTCGATATCATTGAATCAAAGAGCGTCATTAATATTTTTTCTATCAGGAACAGCTTATTATTTATATTCTCACTTTTGAATATATATATATTATCGAGATTAATTGTTAAAATTACACATAAAAATCGTGACAGAGATCGGAATAAAAAAATAAGTTTGGCCCATGAGGGGATCGAACCCGCGACCTTCGCGTTATTAGCAAGACGCTCTAACCAACTGAGCTAATGGGCCAGACGTTCAACAATTGCACAGCAATTCCTTTCGAATTTGTGATCTCTGAAATATTTGCGTAAGAATAAAAAAGGGTAATCGCGAAATAATTAAACAACCACATTTGCGTTTTTTATTCAACAATCGCAAATAAAAAGGTTAAAATAATTGTTCCTAGTATTTTTTTTTCTAGTTCTTTGTTCACGCCTATTTTTAGATACTCTAATGCATATAATAATTGAATTTCAATTCGAATACAATCGATGGGCATAGGATGCGAAGGGATTAGAGAGATGTGTAGCGAATATACGAACATTTTGATAGTATCATCCGGTAAAAAAAGTCTCAAAGTATGAATATAAACACATACATAAAATTATGCATACATAAAATATGTCCAAATATATTTCCTTTTGTATAAATTCTGTTTGCATATACGGGAAATAATAAGTAGAATTAAGGAATAATCAGAAGAATAATTTTCACTCTGTTCTTTATAAAAAGTGATGTTTGAAATAAATTAGGAGAAACTATCCATATATAATTATATGTACAATAATAATATATACAATCACACGAAAAAAAATAGATTGAGTGATTTAACAAGGCTATGTATATAGTTTGTTGCATGACTTCAATATCTATATAACTAAACAAATTTAGTAGTATAACAAAAAAATTATATCTATAAACAATTATCATTGCTAATTCAGCTAATTCTTTGCTACAATGAAAATTGCTAACAAGTTTCCTTCATTACAAAGCAAAAGTATACATCGTTTTAGTTAGCATATTTTATTAAAATTTTGATTTATATATTGAATTGATTTTCATAAAAAGTAATTACCTTTTCTATATTAATTTTCTGTGTTATTACAGTAAATATGATTAGCTATAATCGCTAATTTTATTCAGATGTGCAACTTTGCTGCTTTAACATAAAAAAAACAAACTATCCGGATATTATGCCAGTAATTTTGCTGAATTAGTAAAGTTTTTAATTATTTTAAATCTCTTTTTTTTTCCGTGTGTATATTTATTAGAATATTAAGTAATCGCAATTTTTTTTTGTATATTGTTTTGTATATAGATTACTTGATTATATTATAGATTACTTTTACCGGGCGTATAATTGCTATTGTTGCAAAATATCTTTTGTTATAAGTTCGTATAAGATTGTGCAAATAAAGATATTTGTATATAGAAACATACGAGTGTTGTTGATGCGCATCCTAGATACCTACGGAATAATGCTTATGGGAAATGTCGGAATAAAATACGATCAAAATTATTCCGTTTTCTCTAAAAAAAATCATACTAGAAATCTAGGAAATAATTGAATAATTCCGATCAGAATTTATTCCGACATTTCCCATAAGTACGCATTATGGATTATTCAGAATAAATTCCAAATTATTCGATTATTCCCTAGATTTTTATTGTGATTTGTAGAGAAAACGAAATAATTCTGATCGAAATCCATTCCATTTCCTGTTTCATGTTTTTATTTTTCCCCGAAATTCCTTGAAAAATGATATTACAAATGTTTTTACCACCAACAAAGTATAAAATATTAAAATTACAGCTGCAGTCACTTGAATGAACTTTCAAATCAGTTAAAAGAGGCCGATGGAAACGCGCTGACACGACTAATTGTCAATGGATTAAGACATCGCAGTCGACGTCAGTTGGCTCATCTTGAGCATACTAAATACATATTTAATATACTGACGAAATAAGCAGGATGCACACATAGACGCAGCACAATGGACAATGGAGACATTATAATGAATTGCAGATCGAACTAGTTACTAGATCATTATTTAAACAAAACTTATTATGAAGAACATAATTTGATTACTTATTATCTCATAAATTAGTAATGAGCCACCGCGATCTGCGGGCTGTAAGTATGCTAATTAATTTTCTACAGCCTGCCGGCTCATCACAGAAAATATAATTGTATTTTCTATTTTATGTAAACTATTATATTAAAATAATAACCCAAATATGAGAAGCGCCATTTAACCGTCAAGATATTAAACTAATACATAAATGTATTTAAAATGAGTTTTAAATGAATTTATCTCAAAATGATTGCATACCGTTACTATCGGACATAATCCGTCTGAAATATTTAATAATTCCCCCAAATTTAATTACATACATTTTAAAACTTGTAAAGAGCTTATTGCCAAAAATACAGTCAACTCTCCTATAACACGATTGATTCATGTTGTATCGAAACCGTGCTAAGGAAAACTTAAAAGTAAAGAAAAACCTGAGAGGATATGAGGGCCTTTTTCGCTGTAACCGCAAAATGCATTACTGCTCTCTGAAGAAGTGGATGTAAACCATATAATAATTTTTTTGCGCTGCTCCTGATGGAAATAAATTGCTGAAATAATTAAAATCTATCAAATGAATAGATTTCAATGATTTCAGCAATTTATTTCCATCAGGAGCATCACCAAAAAATGGATATTATTGTGTAGTTTACATCCACTTCTTCAGAGGACAGTAGTATGCAGGAGCATTTTGCGGTTACAAGAAAAAGGCCCCCATGTCCTCTCTCTTAGGTTTCTCTCTGATAGAACCAGAGAGAAGGGGCCAATCTGGCTTTTTTCGTGACTTGAAAGCAGTATTGTTAGACGTACCGGGTTTCAGGTCCGCATGCGCGTCCAATGTAGCTTCAATAACGTATCGGTTACTAGTAAATAGATTATTAGTCGCTTAGGATTGAAAATGTTAAAAATTTTATATTTTATATTTTACATATTTTACATATGTATACATATATACAAATATATATAAATATATATAAATATATATAATATATTTCTATATGTGTATACATGTATGTAAAATATATTAAAATTTTCAACATTTTTAAAAAAATTTTATATAAGCGATTAATGGTCTCTTATTTACTAGTATCCGGTACGTTACTGAAGCTATTGGACGCGCATGGGTCTGAAACCCGGCTTGTCTAACAAGCTTGGAAGCTTCCATATACTAGCGACAACAATTTTATAGAGTGATACGGCGAATTACGTATCATATTGACATCACTGCCGATAAAAGATCCGATCTTTTTTCATATTCTAAAACTAAACTTCTAGCACGCTTCATTTTCTTTCTTTTTTTCTCACATTAGGGAGAAAAAGATAAAGATAAACAATGCAAGAAGTTCAGTCAGGGTATAGAAAAAGAACAAGCCTAAAGTAGCGTCGAAAAATTGATGTGGTGCGACACATCAATTTTTTAATAAAATACGGTTAATTTTTATTTTAGCAAAATATTACAGATACTCATTCTTTATATTTTACAGTGTGTTCTGGGTAAACTTAAATCTTTGGTAGAGAAAGTTGATACACACAACTTGTCGGTCGGTACTCATAATTGACTTTACACACTATATCAAACTCGCATGCATAAATTCAATAACAAGAGATATCCAGGATTAAGTTTACTCTAATCTATTTTAACTTATCCATTTTAAAACAAAATATGTATGGAATGTTATACATATATTTATCTGTATATTGTTATTAAATTTATACATATATGCATCTAGATATGGTATACTAATAAAATTACCATATATCCGTTATCTCAATAAAAACGTAATTAATTCGTCACTCACTCACCGATTCGATGCGCAACAGTGGAGTTACATCTGGGACATCGCTACAATGATACTGTAACAAAAAATTAAAATCCAAATTAAAACACGATAAAGAAATAATCATTTAAAAAAAATTATTACTATATAAACGCATGCAGTTTTCTGAAAAATAATCATGCAATTTTGAAAATATAATTTTTATAGAAATCTAATTTTGTATCCATTATTTAATTAGACAATATATAATATATTTTCCAAAAAGATCTTAACAAGAATAAATTTGTATAAAATTTTTAAGTAATTTTTAAGTAATTTTTAAGTAATTCTCTTTTTTTCTAATTACTATATTTAAATCATTGTCAAATAAAATGATTTAACAAGCAAAAAAAAGATTAATTTTATACAAGTAAAAAATAATATTTACCGCAAAGTTGCTCCACCAGTGTCTCTTTCAGACCTGCTCCTCCTCTCAGGAAAACTGTAAAATATGATAAGGGTCAATGAAATGGACTAAAGATTAATAAAAAAAGCGAAATATTTTTTTATTACCGACAAACAATTTCAAAATTATGCTCAATTTTTTATATGGATCGTATCACGAAAGATGCACAAAAACAAAAAATTAATTAAATATTAATTATACAACTATATTAATTGTGAAAGCAGGAATCGCATAAATTGCATGAGAGTATTTATTAACATTCCTTTTTTATGATTCATATGATATTCGTTCAAAGTATAATATAAGAGTTACATCTATTCAAGCGAAAAAAACATTTTCGTTAAACAAAAATAATTCCTTAGTGTCATCTGTAATTATCGCAAAATCATAACAAATTTTGTTTTCCATCGCGTTTTGATTCCAAATGAATGAGTCAAATGAAATATATATCTATTCTGTGATACATGATCGTCATCTCGAGTCTTTTATGAATAATAATTAATCGCGCGAGCTAATAATCGTATATTGTGAATATTCATAAAGTACAATAGTATTTCGTATTAGTAATTCGTATTTATTTAGCATTTTTCGCAATTACGTCAAAATATTCAAAATATTTCAAAAAGATATGTGTATTTATGTAATTGAAATAGAAAATACTTATTCCAATCTCACTTACGTGTTCTCATGTCCCTCTATGTCATCAACAGATTTCCTAACCTGAATAGTCATCAATTTTAATAATTAATACCTCGGTTTACAGGGCAGAGCGACACTTTCTTTTGTCAGATTCGTTAATTTCATGCAAAAATGCGTCGAATGAGCCTAATTTTATCAAGATCGCAGGTGCACAATGAAAAGGATAAACTCAACAATTATTTATAATTACCGAGACACTCGTTGACTTTAACCGCGCAAATGACACACAGCACTTACAAAGTGTTAACAAAACGTTAAAAAAAAAGTGCATATAATTGCTTTTTTAGCGCTTTGCAAACACTGTTTTGCTACTTCGGCTAGAGTGGATGTAAAGAGAGTGGCGCCAATTAGACGGAAGTCGCCATTACCTGCACATATTTATGACGCATGAAAAGGCATCTTAATTCGCTGTCACAACAGAGCCAATCACAGAGTAGTCGGCATTGGCCGATTTCTATCTAGTGTGTTACAAATATAAGTTTTGGAACGCACCCCTAGAAAATCTCTAGCCTATCTCTAGCGGCTAGCTCTCTACTCTCTGTGATTGGTCTGTGGCCTGCAGGACTGATTGGTCTGTTGTTTGTAAGGTCTATAATTGTAAAAAATTATTCCGACATTGCACATCAGCTTTCTGCTCCAATTGCTTTATATTTTTCTTAAACGAGGCAAATAGCAGAAATTAAAATATAAAAATGGGATTCAGTAGCACACTGTACAATCTCGTTCTTAGACGGACATCCACATTCACAGTTGTCGTTTTAGCCTCTGCCTTCATATTTGAAAGAGGATTCGATATGGCCTCCGAGAAGATTTTTGACACTATTAACAAAGGGGTAAGTGTCCATCTGCGCTTTCTATTGTCTTTACGTTTAATTCACACTTATTAGATACTCGAATATCGAATTCTCTGATGGAAGTTAAAGTGAGGTTATGTCACAGAAAAAAGTATTCATTATGACATATAATGATATTTCGCAAAATAAAATATTGAAGATACTAAATAAACTTGCGTTTATTTTAAATTATGAGTCAACACATAATGTTGAAAATGACACATTTTGATTTATATTTTGACATCTGAAAGAAATACGATACTGATTGCATAACAAATCTGTTTCAGAAACAATGGAAGGACATCAAGCACAAATACGAAAATTAAATGGGAAATTTTAGGAACAATATGTGTTAGAGATCTAATAGATGTATTCTATCTTTGGATATGTAAATAAATAACAAATTACATGAATTGACGCTGGCAAATTTATTCAATTGAATATGATATTTTTATTTCATATATTGTTGTGATATACAATATATATATAAGATACGAGTCGACATACATATATATTTATTTCAATTTACCATTTATATGTATCATATAGAAAGGAATAAACAATTATTGTATAATGTAACAGAAACGTCATTTTTACATTTGCTGTAAGCAGCATCATTATATGTAAGTCCTTTATATTTTAAGCATTTTTTAAGTACAAAACTGATTGTAGATGAGTATTGAGCTTTTTTTTAAATAGTACCTCTGGAGTTGTCTGCATTAGGACCCATGAAACGACCAGCGAAAAGAGTCTCACTTGTTACCCGATCAACGATGGCAAACATAAATGGTCTATTTGCTATGAAAGTTGGAACCATGTTAGCCATAAGCGGTACAACTGCAAGTTCTGCAATTTAATGAGCATTAGCACAGCCATTTGTAAGTTACAATTTATTGGAAGGAATCATAAATTAATTACTGATAATTACCTGTCACTGCAGCAGCAATGGTTCCTTCTTCGTCCACTTCTATCTTAGCATTTTGAATGATATTCGCTAATTGCAAGTATTTATTAAACACGATTCCAGTGAAATTTGCTGCAGAACTAAAAATATCCTGTATACCCATCTGAAACAGATCACATTTCTTGGTTTTATTCAACTCTTTTGATACATAATACTGTTAATGATATTTATAATAATAAGAAATAATATTAACTACTATTATCTGCAATCAATTATTAATAAGAACTATAATTATAATGTGATTATAAAAAATACATAAAAATTGTTTAAATTGTATTGCCCATTGCTATGACGCAATTTGAAACATAAAGTTTTCCAAAAAATAAATTCGTTTTCAATCATTAAAATTTTGCAATATTAATTTTAAAAAATGCAATTTCGATATAACTGATTATAAAGAAATAAAGATATTTTTTTCCTTACATTTTTTTGCAAACATTAAACAAAATAACTTTTTAATCATATTGTAAGCATAATATATAACAAATTATTACTATTAATAATATGAAATTAACAAATTATTACTATTAATAATATGAAATATAAAAGTAAGCAGGATATAGAGTACTTGGAGTAAATGAGAGTACTTGGAGCGCAAATTTTTATAATATATAATATTAACTAGTAAAACACTACAAATTCATCGAACGTTTCGGACTTATTTAGGACTATCTAGATAACAGGAAAATCCAACGTATAAAAATTTTTTTTAAATGTGTAGTGATGATATGTAGTAAAAAAAAGCTAAGTCCCTTTTATAATTCTAACTCGACATTTTAGTATTAAACTTTTCATCTTAAAATGTTACACAAAGAATACATTTTTAAAATATTTATCGTCAATAATGAGGCACCCTGTATAGTGAAGTCTTATGTCATGTATATTAAATATAATTAAATGTATATAAATTAATACTTACGCGCATTAAAGGTGAACGCAAATCTAGTTTACTTTCGATATTAAATTTCGGAATAGCAAGTATCAGTTCAGTTTCATTGAGACTAGCGAGTAGCGTTTTCATCGGTACATACGACAGATCTTTGAACAGAATCCGAAGGTACGGATCGCTCTCTTTATGAGATGGAAGGAATATCAGCATAGACGTCCTGCCATTCTGAAATATTAATTTATGACAGATTTCACATGATTTTATTCTTAAAAATAAAAATTTAAATATTAAATTTCTGACATATTTATTTTAACATCTTCATTCAAAAAGATTTTTAAAAAATAAAATTTTTTCTATAATAAGTAAAAACAAATTTTACGCTTTATATTTCTTAGAATATTATATAAAAATCATTAATTTTTATTTTTTTTGCTTTAAATAAAAATAACATATTACTTTGACGATGATTTATCATAATAATTGCAATAATTTTCGTATAAAACATTATCACAAAATGAATTAACAGCAGCAACTATTATGTATAAACAAATCTTATAAAATAAGACTTTACAAAAGTAAAAAAAGATATAGTTACATACATAAATGTATTCAAAAGTATACATCGAAAATTAAAAAATACATATATTTATTAAAAAGTTAACTGTTCAAAAATGAATATGAGATCAATACAATTATTACTCAAGTATATCATTACAGAAACAAGACCTAAAAAATTCTATAAAAATCTATTTAAAGATTATTTGTAAAAAATGGATATATTATTATTGCTACAATTATCCAATAATTATATGCAATAAACATTTAATGCATCCAAAAATATATGCTTCTAAAAGTCTTTTCATGCAAATTTTAAGTTGCATAAAACAAGCTTAAAATGATGTGTCAATGACTCATAAATCATCTGTGTGTACAAATACTATTTACAATATCTATTATAGACTAATCGTCTTAGGATCTCCTTAATAATCCTAAGTTTATGTAGATATCTTAACTTTTTTTGTAATCATATAGCTGAAGCATCAATCTATTAGAAATTTTTTTTATTGCAAAACTGGAAAGGAAAAATACAAATTTTAAAATAAAAAAATACAAACACATTGGGGCTGTTTGCATTTTTATAAATACGGAAATTTTACATTAAAAATGAATCGTTAATATGAAACTAAACCATACTGAATGCTATTAATCTTCATCGATCGAATTAATTTTAATGTAGTACCAAAAATAACTATTTACTCTAAGCGATTCACGAACCGAATTCATTTTTTTTCTTTCAAATTTTCAATTCTTAGGAAACGAATAGAAATAAAGTTTAGGATTTTTTTATTCACTATTGAATCAAACTTGCAATCAAGAATACAACATTTTCGAGTAGAATGATTAATTTTTTTTTTTACGAAAATATTAAACTAATTATCGGATTACTATAGTTTAAAAGTCAAAAGTTGCCTAAATAATAATTATATGTAACGTTGCTTGAGGTATGCAGTTGTTTAATTTAGTGTATAAGGATTAATATACGATTAATATTGAACTATGCGTGAATTCTTCATATAGAAGTCGAAGCATTCACATTAACTTATAGATGATTAAGAATCTTACCGAGTACGGGATTTCTACCACATCAGCGTCAAGAGAAGCTATATTACCATATCGATACTTCGAAGAGTTCTCCATCATAAGAATATTTTGACAGTCACTCTGAGGAACATAGAAGCACCGTACACGCGTAGCGTCCTTATCGAAGGATTTCAACCATTGTCCTTTGAAGTACAAGGACGAAGTTAACACCATTTGAGTATCGGCGCTAAGAGTGCCTGGAAACAACGTTGATCAAATGCAGTTAAACTGAAAGAATTATTAGCTTCGAAACTGAAGAAAATGTTTCTTCAGAAAAAATTCGTAGCTCGAATTACTTCGGGAGAAGGAGGTTTGGGAGAAGGAGGAAGTGTCTTCTACCATTCGATAAATGTTCACTCAGGATCATGATCTTGACAACATCGGAGGAGCCTATTCCCCTAAAGTGAATTTTTACATTTACCTTATATTTAATAGAACTTAAGTTAAATACCAGGCTGAATGATCGTCTTGATGTTATTCCGCGTGTTCTCGCGAACCCAGGAATTGATGATATTGGCCGCATTGTTTGTATTCCCGAAATTCAGCTGTTGGATATCAGTTCCATAATAACTATTTAAGGCGGTCATATAATTAGTAGATGCCGCAAGAGCCGGATTGATCCACAAGCGAGTTGCTACATCGATTTCCGTGCCATTTTGTTGGCTCTGGAAAATAACGTGAAGAGAAAAGTCAGATAAATTTTTGACGGAAAGAAAAGACGCACCGATCGGTATAATTTTGATAAATTTTCTGTGCAAATTCAAAATTGAT